GAAAGCTCAGAATAAAACTATGGTTCCAGAGATCGCGTCTTCCTCTTCTTTAGAATACTTAAATGGCCAATTCTGGCTTAGTAGCCGTCATCAATCCGCCAAACCCAACGCCAAGTGTTGCAACATGTGTATAAACAGAGTAATATTCCCGACAAAGATAAATAACACCTGAACGCACCATGATGCCAGTCAAAGTTAGCACCAAGTAAAGTCGCAGTTGCCAGATATTCCGGCCGTCTTGGCCATCGGTGCTGGGGTACACGAACCAGTACGAGGCTCAATCGTTCCACGGAGACCAAGACGTCCAAAGTATGCGGACGGGAGCTGGCAGCACTTTCGGCAGCGGTGGCATGGGCGGGAGATGGAGTAGGAATGGAATGATCCCCAGGCACCTCGTCCGTCGAGCGTGAAGCGCTCCTACTTCGTGGAGTAGACTCAGTGGGGACTATCCGCCGAAAGAAGGTGATTAATTCGCAGAGCGTCTGTTGGTTGCCTAAATGAGAGCAAAGAGAGAAGCGTTACCGAGCACAGCGGACAGAATAGCGGAGAAAAAAAAAGATCAGACAAACAATTTTACCCAGAAGATCAAGACAGCTGAATTTCACATCTAAACGGCGTTCGGTGACGCGCACGGGATCATCCAGCGGGGGTCGGGTGACCGTGTAGAGGACACGGATCAGGGTCGTTGTGGTATCTAGAAAGACATATGGAGTAAGCAATTAAACAAACGGCCAACAGCTTCTTGTTGTTTTAGGTTTTCAGGTAAGCAAAGCGATCAAAGAAACCTTGCTTTCAAACGCACCCTCAGTTTCAGCAAATGGATCAAAGAATGGTGGAAGGACGGGAACCGGAACTGGCGTCATCTTGCGCTGCCGTGCATTCTGCGGTGGTGGTGGTTTTTCGGGCTCACTGGTCAACTTCAGGTGTCCTGATAAGGTGTCCATTCTGAGAAAGGAGGCAGAAGAAACGCTTCGAATGTCGGCACGAAAGTTCCCACCGGAAAAGGACAAATATTAAGCACTCTGTCCAGGGGAAGATACTTAAGGTGGCGGGCGGAAGGACAAAGAACAACAGGAGCATTTTAAAACCCGCGTCCTAATTAAAATGAATTTGGCAGGTAGTACAAACTACGAGGAAGAGGCGGTTAATGGGCAGCCTTACTTTGGATCGGACATGGAGACATGTAATTCGCCCTGAACCACGGCGCAAGGTTAGCTCTCGTTACGAGTGCGGCAGCCCCCATGCACTCACGGCCGTCGGCGAAAAGTACAGGCCACCTGGGCCATGCCCC